TTGTCCATCTATTGAGATGAAGTAAGGTTATCCATTTATAGACATAGGCTGTCATCATGTTGTAGCCCAATGGTATTCTGGGTTCTGGGCTGCAAAAGTTATATCTTGATCATTGCTTTGCAAGTTCATCTGCCTTCTCGTTTTGCTCAATACCGATGTGTTCCTTAACCCGCATAACCGTTACCTCATTTTCATGAGCACATTCCATGAGCTTGGTTACACATTCTTGAACTAAGCTGTTAGCTATCTATGTCTTTTGCATGCTTTTGATAACTGCATGATTGTCTAGCGCTATCAGAATCTTTTTCTGACACACCTGACAATCCAATAGGTGATACTGAGCATATGAGACGGCCATAAGTTCCGCCTAATAGACGGAAACATATATTCCTAGATGTATAGTGCACGTTAGATATAGCTTTTTCGAGTAAACCCCAGCACCAGCTATGCCATCCATCAAGGACCAATCGGTAAAGATGCAGATGTCATTCCCGTTACATTCATTATGTAGAAGGCCGTCTACTATCAGTATTCTATAGGACACTTCTGTCTCATAAGCTCTCATAGTCTCAAATGGCATCTGTGTTTCCTTGACCGCGGTCTGGACGAGGTCAAGAATTTTCCGATGTCCCACCAATTTTCCGAAGTTGTTCCACGTGGAGCACCGATTCATGCGAATTGCTGCCAGTGCCGCCATTTTCTTTATATCTAAATCCAACGGAAGCAAAACTAGCATCGCATCTAACGCCGGTGTTGGTGTAGTGCGCATAGCGCTTGTTATTCCAACACAGGCTAGTCACTGGACCCTATCTAATTTCACTTTTATTGTCTTTTGGGTGACAACTGACGCATATGTTATAATAGGTCTGACCATCATCGTATAGATCCAGTGCATCAATTTTGGGGATATCCCCCATCGTCTTCCGCTGACTCTCTTACATTGAAATAGGACCCTCTTCGCTTTTCTGATCTTTTCATCCACATGTTCATTCCAAGTCAGTTTATTATCTACGATGACACCTAGATACTTCACCGACTTTGATATGCGAATGTTATTATCGAAAAGTTGTAAGGGCTCCATTGACAGATTTCTCTTCCTCGTGAAGAGGATAGCGTCTGATTTCGTCGCATTGATGGTCAGCCTTTTTCCTACACCATTTTTTGACGCATTTGAGAGCACCTGTCATTACATTTCTAATGGTGTCTAGGAACTTGCCGTCACCATCAGTGCTATATCGTCCGCATACCCAATTGTTTGTATGCCTTTGAAGTCAAGCTGTTGAAGTAGAGAGTCTATGGTCATGTTCCACAGAAATGGTGAAAGCACCCCTCCCAGTGGGCAGCCTCTGACTGCTCTACCTCTCAGTCTATGTCTTCCATTTTGTAGATTTACTGCTCTTTGCCTTAGCATGAAATCTATCCATCCAATAATAAGTGAACCGACTTCTCGGTCAGTTAGAGCAGATTTTAATTTATCAAAGCTTACGACCTCGTGCAGGGCAGTCTCTGTGGATCTCCCCGCTCTATAGGCATGTTGACATATGCTTAAAGGATATTTCATTAGTATGGTGCCTTTTAGGTAGTCCACAATTACCTTATCCGTAGCTTTAAGCATGAAAGAGGTAAGGCTAACAGGCATGAATGACTTTGCTTCTGTGTAATCCTTCTTTCCTGGCTTTGGTAGAAAGGTCACCCTTGACTCTCTCCATATCCCATGATATTGAGTTCTTCTCTCTCATGTATTTATTAAAAGCTTTCCTAATCTTCTTTTTTATGATAGCAAGGTCCTGACTTCACCAGGGTGTAGACGACTTTTCTGTAATGCTGGTTTGGGGACAACCATTTTCGAATGCATTAATCATCGCAGCAGTAATTGCTTTGACTTCTGTCTCTACATTCCATGTGGTCTTCAGTTTCCTCAGCAGCCTGTTTTGTAATAATTCCTTCAACCACGTCAAGTACGTTGCATGATTCGTATTCTCGAAAATTCTTACTAGCCTCTGACTATTAGTGCGTTTTGGATGACAGAGTATTTCAAAATGTATTGCACGATGATCCGACATTGTTAGCCTGTCAGCGACTCTCCAGGGTTAAGTCAATAACTTCTAACCTACGTGCGTCAACGAAGGTAGGTTTTAACCCCCTGTTTACAATCATCAGATTGTATTTTTCAACAAACTCGAGGAAAGATTCCCCTCTGTTGTTACTATCGCTGCTACCCCACACAATGTTGTGTGCGTTCGCATCGCATCCTATGACAATTTCTAGTTTTTTCGTCCTACAATACTCCATCAGTCTGATTACCTCCTGACCGGGAGGCGGCTCAGCAGAGTCATATGGGAGATAGGCTGACGCCATGATAAAGGTGTTTGCATCACTCTACTCTTACGTAATAAGATCTGGTGAGCATAGATGCGGGAATTGGATGCAGTGTATCACCTTTCTCACCATAATGCATGTCCATATTTTTCCAGCTGTCTGTGGAAACAACAGCGTGGCAACTGATGTACTGAGTCCCTTAATAGCATTTTTAACAATTCAACTAAAAATGTCCAACTTTTCTTCATCAAAGTGTCGTAGGATCATTGCTGATGCTGCTTTACTGTGATGAATATTCAGTTGTTCAACCTTTATGGTTTTCTGGTATGGGACCACCCACCGCCCTAACGGTCTACATAGACCCGTTAGCTCCATACCAGAGGCTTGCTCGCATGCGCGTCGTGCATCCCTTTAAAATTTCACTTTGGCTTGATCTAGACCGCAGTTGAGCCTGCCCCTGCGGTCTTAATCGCCTCAGCGTCTTGTTTGGGGCATCACACTGTGAGCATGACACCAGCACTGCTCGCTTCGCCAAACTTGCTGAAGTTAGTAACCCTCCGCTTCGAAGTGTCCTTAACACAGCTTTTGTGCTTCTGCAGCCTGCTAAGAATACTTTCCTTGCCTACAGTAGAGTCGTAGACAAAAATAAGTATTCTGCTTTCGTTGCGCAACGCTGTTAGCGTATCAGCCGTCAGCTTAGCTTCAGGCCAAAAGCCTTCGAACTTAGTTACCGTGCTGGTTAGCCATGCCTTTGATTGTTGGTTCTTACATTAATGTTAATGTACCCATCCTCAAGGCGAGCGTTGTTAACAAAACCCTATGTCACCAATTCCACCATCTAGGGACTCCACGGCGTTCAACAAAGATGGTTTAATGGCAACTAAGTGTTTCACGCCAAGAGGTCCTTCGACTCTTGAATCGATGATACCCATATTAGGATCCGTCCCAGCGAAATGGGCATAGGAGCTCTTATGAGCAAGGCCATCTTTTGCGTCTCTTACTGCCCGCTTGCCGTAATTCTGCTTATTTGCAGCCATATTTGTGCTAGGTAGATGGTCCGCTGCCCTAGTTTGGTGTCCCACTTGGTTAACAACCGTTACTAGTTATCCACCTTGTTTGACCCCAACCTTGTGACCTATGGGTTTTGATTGGTTGACATCCTGTATGGGTTGTCCGCCTTTTCTAACCCCTGATCCAGTTTGCGTTCTCTTTTGGTTATCAGCCGCTAAAGGTTGTTCACCACGCCAATTATATTTAATAAAGACACAAAATTTAAGTTATATGTTTCTTTATTGAATTGAATCTTAAGACTAAATTAAAAATATTTCTTAAACAATACCTTAAGTCTAGAAACATAATCAAATTCAGTTAACCCTGAAATGCAAAATATCTAACTCAGCAGATTTTTGCACCTGGGTACCGAATTTGATGCTTGCTGTCTTTGCAATAGCATTACCTAGATAACGCTATAGTAGACAGCTTAATATTTAGATCAACATGCATATTCGCGTTAATACGATATTTATGAAAATATGCATGTCTATACAAACATAAATAAAATGCATACTAAGGTATGCAAGAGGTATGAGAATGTAACTCGCCGACCAATGGTCCTTTTACCAACCAATGCGGGTCGGTTGAGTGCCTGATTAGGTACTCCACCTCGCGCATAAGTTAGATCTTTGACTGTCGATTCAGCTTGGCTGACGGAGCTTCATGTTTCCAACTGACAACGACTGAGCAGAAATGCCGGACTGCTAGTAAAAGAGTCGTCTTATCAGGAGTTGGCCATATGGTGCAATGTGCGGCTCATTTATTTGTCATCAAAGCAATGACAAAATAAAGTCTCATATTGCTTGAAAATAATTTATTGTTATTTTCATTTAAAATAGAACTGTGTCAATATTTACGTTAAAATTATTTGGAATACTTTTACGTTGTGTGCTATATTTGGTCTCATACCCATATCATATTACAAGAGTTCCACGAAAGAAGCCACTAATAAGTAAAATAAATAAACGGCTTAGATTGGAATTTGCAAATAAATACAAAAAAAAAGACGTGGAATTTTGGAAAACTGTACTTTTCACTGATGAATACAAATTCAATTTGTTTAAAAGTGATGGTTGTATAACAGTCTGGTGCAAACCTAACACCGCCACTCAAACTAGGAATTTAGTTTGAGCAGCGGCTGTTGGGAATTTGGCTTACATTGATGGAATAATAGATCAACATCAATGTAAGAGCATTTGGTGACAATATTTACGGTCTTCTGTGAACAAATAAGTTCTTGGGCACCATTGGATTTTCCAACAAGACAACGATTCTAAGCATAACGCCCTTTCAGTGAAAGAATGGCTACTTTATTCTTCTTCACGGTAGCTGAATCCTGAATCCTACATACTGCTGCTATTCTTTTTATTCTTCTTTTAGACTCAAGTTGGTTGCTGTGCCAAATGTGCGTTTACTTCTTTGTTTTCTTTTATTGTGTTTATATTTATTTGTTTAATATTAAATATTGTAGTCATAATTCTATAAATTCATAATGACAAAACTATTGTTTGTTTTATTTGCCATTATTCTAATATAATTCTAATAAGCTAATAATTTAAATACTTTTACATTGTGTTTATATATACACCTATGGCTATGAATAATATTACCATAATTTGTATCTAAAGTTTTTAGATGACAGTGATTGTTCACTGGATGAACCGCAACATATAGCCGAAGAATTTGAAATGCATAAACGAAACTATTATATGGAAAAACTAAATCAAAATAATATAACTAGGTATTTCTAAACGAAATTCTAAAGTACTAGTAATTTCTAAGATTTTGTTTTTAGTCAGCAAAAGCGGGAGTATGCTTACCGGTATATAACAGCTTTACAATGGAATTTAGATTATTATTACCGTGGTGTTCAATCATGGGACTGGTATTATCCTCACCATTATGCGCCTTTTATTAGCGACCTTAAGGATTTTAAAGATTTTAAAATTGAATTTAATATAGGTGAACCATTTTTCCCATATGAACAGGTAAAAATAATATATCCTTTTGTTCTACAATTAATTACTTTAGTCTTAAAATCTAAAGTTACTGGCTGTTTTACCTGCTGCAAGCAAACAATTACTACCATTGGCATACCAAGATTTAATGACAAATTCCAATAGTGAAATTATACATTTTTATCCTAAAACTTTTGATACAGATCTTAATGGCAAGAAACATGAATGGGAATCCATAGTGCTTATACCGTTTATAGATGAGGTATTAATACAATAACTTAGCGGCCAGTTGTTGACACAAAATAAATCAAAAATTTAATTTATTTTATTTAGAAACTTTTAATTAATGCTATGAAACCTTGTAGTGTTAACTTAACACCACAAGAAATTGAACGTAATAAATTTGGTCCTATGCTGAAATATGATTATACTTCATCAGCACAGGGAAAAATATCTGGTATATATACAATGGAGGCAATTCAAAAAGTGTTTTGTTTTGAGAAAGAAGTTTGGTCACATGAGATTGCTATATCATCTAGTGATACAGTTTGTACAAAATCATCAAATGCATCAAATAACGTGTTCTTCCCTGGTTTTCCAACCATGAAACACTTAAATTATAAGGTATTTATCCTTTATTGTAGTTTTTTAGTGATCAATAATGACATTTATTTTAGTTTGAATTTAAACCTCAACGTGTTAAAGTTTTCGATCAACCTAGTCGTGGCGATAATTTAATTTTAAAACCACAAAAACGGAATGAATTTGATGACGTTTATAAAGTAGCAGAAAAATTCTTAGGGCAAACTGTATATATAGGATGGCCACATTTAATGAAATCAACAGTAGCAACTGTATTTAATAATGATGTAATTATAAGTAAAACTGGAATTAAAGAAAATGATCCAAAACAATTCCAACTAAATGTTAAGTCAACACAGGAACAGTTACGTTTTATTAATTATTTGTTGTAATAAGAAGTTACTAATATATTAAATATAAATATTCCTAATAGTTTGTTAATGCGTATGGGTATCGAGCTTGAGGACTATGATGTTATGATGCAAGTACATGCTTATGTTGGTAAAGCATATATATGCGGCGCTATGGGAAAAATAGTTCAAAATGACGTATGGAGCCCTTTAACAACCAACTATCCTGTTCAGGTATAATATATATTAATACAAAACTTTTTTCCCGTAAGTATAGTTATATAATTATATTCTATAGTGTGTTGTTCCTGAAATATCACTAATACAAAACAAAAACATTGGCGTACAAAAAATAGAGGAATTTTTTCCTGTAGGCACATTAACATTTTATTTAGGAAACAAATATCATGCATGTGCAGGTGAAGTAATAGATCCTATGACAGCTTATATAAATGGGCGTATATGTTGTAAGTAATAGAATAAAAATTTTTAAGTAAATAATGGTATAATTTTTTGTGGTTTGCTTGTATTTTCTAATTAAATATGTAGTAAGGATTCTATCTTACAAATATCCAGATTTTACTGAAGCAATAGAACTCCATAATGGTTTAAAAGAAAATTATGTAAATTCATATAACGCATCATCTATCATAGGAATAAGTCCAAAGTGTTTAGGTCGTATAACTGGTACTGTTTTGGTTGTAGCAGGTGTAAGAAGAAATAAGAATCTAGAAAACGTGCCTAAATTAAATATTGGTCTACAATTAAAATTCCCGAAACAAGTACAATATGCTTTTGAATTAAAAAATTTATAAATTAATAAATATTTTTTAATTTAGCAAGAAGAACGGATTGGATATGCACGCTGTTTGAGAAACCAATGGCATTATTCATCAAAAGCAATCGAGCTTGTTAAAAATTATTTTATTCAATATCCCCAGGTTTTTGAATATTTAAATTTATTATCAGACAAAAACGGATTAATATTTGAGTCGGACATATTTCCGGATAATTTGGGAGAACATTATATTGAAAAGATTGTGACATGGATAAAATCTCAAGATCATAATACATCAGATAGAATAGTATGTGGATCTGAAGTTGCAGAAAAAGGTTCTGTTGAAATGGTTATTCGAATCATAAATGATATAAAGGTTTGAACAAATTAAACAAATATGAAAAATAAAACTAAATCATATTTTTTAGAATCATCCATTCAAAGAAATTAAAGCATATGTAAAGCCACACTTACTAATAAAGCCAGATGTGACGCTACCGTTAATGTATAAATCACCTAAACCAATTAAACTCTTTGACAGAGTTGTAATTGTTAAGACGACATATATGGTAAATATAATATTATAAAAATTATTGTATAAGTATGATCAAAGGCGATTTTTGCATTGTGCAATTAAGAAAACAGGTGATTATCACTTTAACGTGCCGGTTTAATAAATAATATGATAATGAAACCACGTGAAATTTTTAGTTATACAATTTTGATTTTTAAATTATTGCACAGATTTTGCGCAAATGTCTACAAGACCTTTGATATATCGATGCTCATAAGCTTACACTTTTGCACATTTGACTATTATAGAATATTACACAAAAACTGGATCTCACGTTTTATTTTTTGTACTGTTTATATTCCTTTCGTTATTGACCATAATACCATTTCAATATCTTTATTTTTAATAGTATATTAATTTGTCAACTTTCCAATATTTTCTTTTGTGTAAATGTCATCTTGATTTTATTTTAATTTGTATCTTCGCTATCTTATTTATCATTTGGCATCCTAAATACAACAGAGGCTTACAAATTAGAAATCTTACAAATTCGAACTGTCCAGAAATTAGAACTAAAAAATTTCAATACATTGTACTCACTAAAAGCTCTTAAATTAAAACTTTTGGCTCTAACTTTTGAGCAAATTCTCCTCTCTGTTTCTTTTTTACAAATTAGTAAGTTGATAAGTGTTATTGTTCGTACTTTGCTTCAAAGAAAATAAAAGAGGAATTCCCAAAATGCGCATTCACAGCCTAAGCAAACTAGCGCAAACAATGCATAAATGTCTTAATATTATTATTATATTATTATTATTATATTATGGAGGTCAAAAAGAAGGAACGAAAAAATAATTAATTTAAATTTTAAATGCCAACATTTTGGTAGATAACACGAATTTTTTATTTCTTTATTCTTTATTTTATGAAATGCATTCAAAAATGCAAGTTCAAGATGGATCTGAATATGAGTTTAATACCGATAATGATACTTCAAATAACTTTTGTAAAGTAAATATTACAAACACTTAATTATTATACTGTTTTATTTGTGTTGAATTATTAAAGATTAAAATATTTAAATAAATGTCAATATCGTGAATTACGGCGTTCGACGTTTTGTTCCGATGTGAGTCAACCGATAACTACTACTCTCATTGTCGTTTCGATGAATATCATACTGTTCCCCCGCAACAGGGTGCTCTTCATTTACACATTTAAGATTACGTCTTCAATATTACACCAAATGTGTCTCATTCTGAAACGATTGAAATCGCTAATATATTAATAAATTGGTGCACAAAGAATGACTTGTTTGTTACTGATCATATGACAAATCTTTTAACTCTCCATAACGATATCATTGTAAAATATTTGACGAAACCTAAAAAAAACAAACACATTTTACTGAATATTTTGTACAATAATGCTTAATAAGGACTGATTTCAATTGTAAAATAAATCATGATTATTATGCATTTTGATCAGGACATTCGATTATTATTTAGAAACATAAATTTTGTCTTGTCTCATGATATTGATCTCTTATTATTTCCCGTATCTGTAAATATCTTTTATAATTTATTATTATACGTTTTATTTTTATACTCTTTTACTACTCGTCGGGAGCTCTAGAAATAACTATCAAAATACACATCGAGCAAAAGTAAAGATACAACAACATTTGCCAAATACTAATATCACTTGTCCAAACTTGACTTTTGCAGTGTGATTCGAATAAAAATTTTGAATAACGGCAATATCATTCTTGTCTATATCCAATGATTGCAATATCTGTATAATTTTGTTATATTGTACGCTTTGAAAAGTTTGCCGTAGTTCATAAAATGAAAATATAATATTTTTACACGACACAACATTTGCGCCGACATAACACAAACATGGGATAAAGTAGCAAAGCATAACCTAAAATAATTGCAAATCTTTGTTGGAAAGTGAATTGATCACGACATTCACGTGACTTTCGTTGGCTACTGTAGTGACTCAGGAGAAAAATATAGGCCCTTAGATGATTTCTGTTCTTCTGGTTTAGCTGAAATATGTGGTACAGCCGGGTTGATGGTGTTGTAGTGATCTGAGTGAGGTGAACCGACTTTAAACTAGCTATGGAAGCTGTGCACCTTTTATATTTGACGTTAGTGTCAAAATTTTTGTTGCTACGTTCCAATATCTGAAATAACGTTTGTAAGAAATGTCCGAGTCTGTAACTGTGACTTGTCTTCAGGTTGACCTATAGGAGGACCTAAATTGACTGTTCATTACTGAACGGACCTTTTTATCGGCCCCTTGCATCTTCGCTTTCTTGACGACTTTCGGCTGTTTAGCATTCAATTCTACAATTCGAAAAGGAATGTCGGTCCCACAGTTGTTAGCGACAGCGATGTGCCATACGTAGGTCAATAATTGCAACATAAAAATTCCCTGCTTTTTAGAGCTTACTTAAAATATTGTATTGGGCGGTGGCAGTTAGCTCTTGACCGAACGCGCTGTTTTATTTGTGCTGGACCCAACATTCTTAAGTTTAAAGTTAATCATGACATGTTGTCCTTTACGGTGTATTGCTCTATCAGCAGTGTCAATTATTATCATAGGTAGATAGGTAGGCAGCTCGTCTTATAAAAATAAGATCGGCTTAATTAAAGTTCGAATTTGTGTCCATAGTAATACCATTTTATATGTATGCATGTATAAATATATACATATACAGCTGTGTTCATTGAAATAGCAGTGCAGATGACCTGCTCTTTTTAGATTGTTTAATCTTATTATAAGGACCATTTTGGCACAACATTTTTTTATATTTGCTAAATGTGTTTATTTTCACATAACTTATAAATTTTTTCCTTTAATTTATTCAGTATTTTTCGAATATTGATAAATAATAAAATAAAATCGATAAATTGTGATGTTCAGTGAAATAGCAGTGTTAACAAAAAGAATCAAAAAATTTAAGATAATTCATAAATAAACTTAATGATATTAAACAACATTTTAATAATGCCCTAATATTTAGTTGAATATCCTTTATTGGCTATTACAGCTTCGCATCTACGTGGCATGGAGTCGACCAAGTCCTGGCAAAGCTTAAGGGGAATCTGGGCCCTGTTGCACCAACACTTTTCACTTTTCACTTTGCAAATTTTTATGAGTTTTTGAGCATTTTTCTCTCATTGAGAACATAAAGCATTAATTTGAGAATTGAGTTATGCAAAGTTTTGAAAACACTCAAAAAATGCAAAGCGTTGCACCAAAGTACTTTTCAATGAAAAGTAAAGTATGAAAAGAAAAGTGAAATATTTGACAAAAAACTGCTTTCTTTGCAGTTTCTGTTGCACCAACACTTTTTACTTTGCGCTTTGCAAAAGTAAACTGCAAAACTTTACAAAAAACTGCAAATGATTAATTCACTTTGCAAATTTTGCAAAGTGATTTCTTTCAATGCGTAAAATGAAAGAAATCATTAATAAATAAATAAAAATAGGTTTAAAAAAATAGAAAATTGGTTTAAACAAATATTGTTGTTTTTGAAATAAATTTAGTTGCAATAATTAAAGGGATATATTACCGGACAATACTTTTAAATTGTGAATATAAGAGTTCAGTTTCTAAAAAAACTTTATAATACATTTAAAATAAATATTTTATGTGAATTATTGTTTAAGCATGAACACTTATTTATTATAATGATCAATTTATTGTTATTATAAGTCTGTTATCGTTCAAATTCTCCGAATTATGAACTAAGAAAAAACATGGGTAAAAAATATCCTATAATAGCTAACATTGTAACATTTTTAAATATCTAATTATCCGTATCTAATTATGATAATAAAAATGTATTGCTAAAGACAATAGAAGAAAAAATCACAAGTGCCTGGACTTGCGTCGTTTTTTGAACCTTGTTTGAAATGTAATTAAAAATAATATAGTTCACTAAAATTAGTGATAACAGATAACATATTATTTTAACGTTGATAGTAAAATTAGTTAAGTTAGTTTTAAGGTAATTTTGTATAAATTAAGAAAAATGTTCTAAATAAAATCAGTAATTTAGGCCCTTTATGCGTAGGTTTCTTTTGTATTAGGATAATACACAGCGACAAGTAAACAATACTTTAATAACTTATAATATTTTAAAATTAAATAATAATGACAGATTTTCAACTAAATTTTTATATAAAAGCAACTTATTATATTTGTTAACTTTGTTTTTCAATATAATTGTTGTTAAAACAACTCATACTCATACGCTTTACATTTAAATTCTTTTTTTATAACTTTTCAAACTGCAAAAAAAATTAAAAGCATAAAAATGCTTTTAATGGATATACACAACTTCTTTATCTACGATTCAATGTCAATAAAAGAAATCATATACAAAAATTTTGTGTTTTGTATTAATATATAACATATAATTGTACTAAAATTATACAAATATTACAAATTGTAATAATAAAATTTATTAAAATAAAATTTTATTTTAAAAACTTTTATTTTAACAAAAATTAAACTCATAAGTACATACTATGCATAAATCATGTACTCATAGCATCAAAATATCAAACAAACAAAAAACAAGTATACATACAGAAACGAAATGCTTTCAAAAACCAATGCAAAATGAAAGTGATATAATTTTTTGGTGCAAGACTTTGCAGTGAAATTTTTATTTGCAAAGTGCAAAGTAAATTATGTTAAGTCTTTGGTGCAACGCTTTTCACTTTTACTTTGCAAAAAAAATCACTCATAAATTTTGCAAAGTGAAAAGTGAAAAGTGTTGGTGCAACAGGGCCCTGCTCCCATGCCTCTTGAACAACCTGCCAAAGCTGCTGCTTAGAAGACGGGGATTGCTTTGAGACATAGCGTTTGATGTCCCTCCATAAGTTTTCTATAGGATTGAGATCCGGGGACTGAGCCGGCCATAGCATTAAATCGATCCTTGCTTGGCTAAGCCAATTTTTAGCCAATTTTCTGGTGTGCTTTGCATCGTTATCCTGCTGGAACGTCCATTTTAAGGGCATATTCCAACTGGTATATGGCATCATAACGTTCCTTAATATATCCACGTACAT